AGCCTCCAACAGTGCTGAGATTACAGGCGTGAGCCACCATGCCCAGTCATTTTGGACACTTTTAAAGGAAGATTATAGAAATGCTAAAACGATGTTGGTTTGAATTTGTTGATTCCCACATGGTCTGTGAAATTATTTACTCAGCACTATTGTACTCAGCTATATTCCTCTATAGTTACATCTGTAAGCACTATTGAGTATTAGAAAATGGTTTTGTAATATTTTTTTCTATAGAAAGATAGAATGATAATTCAACATTTCCCTTAGCATGTTTGATCAGAATTTGTTGTTTGTAATTGATAGTTTGGAGAAGTTTATTTCAGCTTTACAACTCATTGACAGAGCCATCTCTGCAGCTTCTTCACAGTCTTTTGCACAGAGATACGCTCTGGGAGCACCTCAGCTTGTTTACAATCCTTGGGCATGATCCTGACAGGCAAGCTGGTTCACAGAGGCTGTGTCTCACTCTGTAGCCCCTTCCTTTAACACCAGCCTCCCTAGATTTTCTCCTGTGGGTTAAGATGGTATGAAGCTGCAATTTAGTGGTACCCAGGGTTCACTCCTTCAGCAGTTCCTTGTAGGGTAAAATAGAAAGTCTGGTCACTTGCTGAAGTTTATCAGAGGTTGTCTTACAGTAGAAGCTGGTCTTGGCCTCAGACCAAGGAGTGTCACTTTTCTTTATACCCTTATTCAGCTTCATTGATCTGAAGTTCACTCCTTATAACTGATCCTGAAGCCAATGAGAAGAAAGGCTGGATTTGGGATTGGGCGGGAATAGAGGGGAACAGAAGGCTTAAGATCCTATGATGCTTATGGAGGAAGCAAATTCCACAAATGATCAGCTCTGCTTCTGCAGAGAACAACGCTCTGTGTGGATTTGAGGTGGAAAACAAAGGCTTCCATCTCTGTTGTTGATGAGCAGATGGAATGAGCTAATGGGGTAAAGGAGCTCTCAAATCCTGATCCTAAGTAGACTCTGTATGGATTGCCAGAGGTAAATTGAGGCAGGAAAAAGAATGTAAATCATCATTGGTGAAGTGTCTGTTCAAGTCTTTTGTCTGCTTTTTTTTTTTTTTTTTTTTTTTTTTTTTTCCCCGATTGGGTTATGTGTCTTCTTTTAATTGAGTTGTTTGAGTTCTCTGTATACTTTGGATTCAAGTTCTTCATTTGTTATATATTTGCCAATTTTTATCTTGGGCTGTGGCTTGCCTTTTCATTTCTTAACAATGAGTGTTAAAGAGCAGTTTTGTTGTATTAAAATAACAACAAAAAACGGCTTTGGGCTTCAAGAATTTTTCTGTGTTATTTACCTTTGCAATTTGATTAATTTCTGCTTAATGTGTATTATTTTCTTCCTTCTGCTTGCATTGGGTTAATTTGTTATTCTTATTACAATTTACTATGTGTAAGCCTAGGTCATTGATTTTAATCTATTCAACCTTTGTAATATAAGCTTTTAATGCCATAAATTTCTAGGTATTGATTTACTTGATCCCATGGATTTTAATATTTTGTGTTCCTTTTCATTTAGTTCACAAAATTGTCTAACTTCCTTTGTGGTATTTTTTTGACTAATGGTTTATTTAGAAGTGAGATGCTAGGTTTCTAAATATTTGGAAAATTATCAGACTTTTTATGGTTATTTTAAAATTATACCCAATTATATTTGTATAATTTCAATAATTTTTTATATTTATTGGGAATAATTTTATGACCCAGAAATATGGTCATTTGTGGAAAATAGTTCATGTGCTCTTGAAAAGAATGTGTATTATGGTTGTTGGTGGAGGGGATTATTCCATAAACATCAATTAAGTCAAGTTACTTGATAATATGTATTGCTCACGATTTCTGTGTCTTTCCTGATATTTTTGTCTGCTAATTTTTATCCATTATTGACAGAGGGAATTTGAAATCTTCAACAATAATTGTGGATTTAAGAAAATTGTATTTTTTGTATTTTCAGTTTTTGATGTATTTTGAAGTGCCTTTAAGTGAATACATTTTTAGAATATTTATCTCTTCTGGATTAAGTGACCCCTTAATCTTATACAATTACCTGCTTTTTCCTTGGTTTTATACAGTTATAGATGTAGATATCGATACTATATACTAATATTATAGCTGATATTGATATAGTCAAGCTTGTTTGTGTATATGTGTGTATACCTGCAAAATACAACTTTGTTATTTATTCAACCTATATGTGTCTTTGTATTCAGTGTCAATTTTTCTTTTAGATAGTGTATAGTTTGGTCATTCTGTTTTCTTTTTGTTTTTTTGGTCATTGTGTTTAATCTAACTTTGCCTTTTAATTGGTATACTTATATCATTTACATTTAATGTGATTGATTATATACATGTCTTCAAATCTGCCAGCTTTTCATTCATTTTTTGTCTTATCTATTTTTGGGTTCTTAGTTTTTCTCCTTTTCTGCTTTGTTTTGCATGAATTACATATTTTTCCATTATTTTGTTTGATCCTCTTTATTACTTTTTTTCCCTATAGTTTACATATACATACAATTTTTAACTTCTAGCAAGCTACCTTTTAATATTAGTCTGTCACTCTATACATATTATAAGAACATCATAACAGTACACTTTCATTTTCCATGCCTGGTCTTTGTGCTATTGTCATGTATTTTATTTTAACAAATGTTACAAACTTGGCAATGCATTGTTACTGTTTTTGCTTTAAACAGCCAATAATATTTTAATGAGCTTTAAAAGTAATACAATGAAATTTACCAACATATTTACCATTTCTGGCACTCTTCGTTCCTCTTCATGGATCCAAACATCTAGTTGATACGATTCTTTTTTTCTCATGAATGACTCCCTTCTACATTTTATATTATAGTGCTTATCTGTTGTTAATGGAGTCTCTCAGCTTTTATAGACCTGTAAAAATTTTCAATCCATTTTCTTTTTGGAAGATATTTTCACTGGGTAGAGAATTCTAAGTTGACAGTTTTTTTATGGAGTATTTTAACAATGTTGCTTTACTGTGTTCTGGCTTGTGTTTCTGTTTAGAAGTCTGTCATGGTCATTACCTTCGTTGTTTTGTGTGTAATGTGTCTTTTGTTTTCCAGTGGCTGGTTTTAAGATTTTTTTTCTGTGTCACTGCTTTGCTACAGTTGGGCTATGATTTGTCTTCTTGTGATTTTCTTTGTTTCTTCTATTTGGGGTTTTTTGAGCTTCTTGGATCTGTAGAATTATAATTTTTATAAAATTATTGAAACTTTTAGCAATTCTTTCAAAAAAATTTGTTTTTGACTCACTACTCTTTCTATTCTGGAATTCAATTCCATACTCATTACACTGTTTGAGATTGCTGATAACTCGCTGTTCTGTTTATTTTTAAAGTCTTTTTTCCCTCTGTTTTATTTTGGATACCCTATCCTATCATGTCTTTCAGTTTATTATTTGTTTTTCTTTTGCAGTGTCTAATCTGTCAGTCAGTGCACTTTTATGTCAAACATTGCAGTTTCATTTCAGTTCAAATTTTCTAATCTTCTACTTATCTTTTTATTATATTCATACTTCTTGAACAAATTGAGTTGTATTTATAATTGCTGTTTTAACACCCTTGTCCACTAATTCTATTATCTTTGTTATTTCTTTGTTTTCTTTGTTACTGGCTTTTTGTTATGCTTCATATTTTTCTCGTTATTTTCATGACTATTAATGTTTAATTGTATACCAGTTATGAATTTTAGATGATAAATCTTGTTTTGCTTCTTTAAATAGTTTTGGTCTATGTTCCGGGGCATAACTAAACTACTTTAAAGTTTGTTTTTAAGTTTTGTTATGTGGGTCCAGAGCAGCTTTTAACTTAGGACTAATTTGTCTCAACTCCTAAGGCAAAACACATTTGAGGGCTCTAACACAAACATTGGCAAATTTTTTCTCTAGAAGACCAGATAATAAATATTTTATACTTTGTTGGCCAAATGGCCTTTGTTGAAATGGTTTAATTTTGCTATTGCAGCACAAAATCAGTCATAGATCATACGTAAACAGATGAGTAGGGCAATGTTCCAATTTGGCCTGTGGGCCATGCTTTACTGACTCCTACTTTACTTAATGCTAAGCATTAGGAGAGCTTTCCATTGTAGCTGTTGAGGGCATGAACTAGTTCCATCTTTTAGTGAGACTTGGAGATCATTCATTCTCCGTGCTCCTTTCTAATGCTACTTGCTTTAGCTTTAGGACTTATTTTACATGCATATGCTGATCAGTATTCGGCTAAAGTCTTTGAGGAAACCCTCTGATAATCTCTGGTGTTCATTCTCTTCTCTTCAGTAATCTGCCTCATGAATTGACAATTCTTAACTGCCTTCTTATTTCTTCTTCTTTCCTTTCCTTTCTTCTTCTTTCTTCTTTCTCCTTTCTTTCCTCTTTCTTCTTTCTTCTTCTTCTTCCTCTTCTTCTTCTTCTTCTTCCTCCTCTTCTTCCTCTTCTCCCTCTTCTTCCTCTTCTCCCTCTTCTTCCTCTTCTTCCTCTTCCTCCTCTTCCTCTTCCTCCTCTTCCTCTTCCTCTTCTTCCTGTTCTTCTTCTTCTTCCTCTTCCTCTTCTTCTTCTTCTTCCTCTTCTTCTTCTTCTTCTTCTTCCTCTTCTTCTTCTTCTTCTTCCTCTTCCTCCTCCTCCTCCTCCTCTTCTTCTTCTTCTTCTTCTTCCTCTTCCTCTTCCTCTTCCTCTTCCTCTGTCACCCAGGATGGAGTGCAGTGGCATGATCTCGGCTCACTGCAACCTCCACCTCCCAGGTTCAAGCAATTCTCCTGGCTCAGCCTCCTGAGTAGCTAGGACCACAGATGTGCACCACCATGCCCAGCTAATTTTTGTATTTTTAGTAGAGACAGAGTTTCATTATACTGGCCAGGCTGGTCTTGAACTCCTGACCTCAGGTGATCCACCTGATTCAGCCTCCCAAAGGGCTGGGATTACAGGTGTGAGCTACCAAGCCTGGCCTGGACCTGTTCTTCAACCATGAAGACCAGGGGAAAGCGCAAACACAGTCCCCCACTACCACAAATTATGCAGTTGAATTTCCCACATTTGGGGAAATTGCAGGGGTCAGCATATCTGGAGTGCAATGGATGCGCCTCATGCTGGGAAAACCACCTTCATGATCATGGTATCTCCCCTGCGAGTAAGTATGAATTCTTAGCCTTCTTAAATCCTGATCTCTGCCTCTTCAACTCAGGGAAAACGCCCAGGTCCTACTTGGTTTGATCTGTTTGATGCTGCATACTCTCTCCAGGCAGTAAGCTAGAGCAATCTTAGGACTCTTTTACTTTGATTTCTGATTCTTGGGGATCACTGCCATTATTTACTTGTTTTTCAATGTTGGAAAAGTGCTCTTTCCTATATTTTGTCTGCTTTTTCCCTGTTATTTCAAAGTATGTATAAATTTAGTCCCTGTTATTCCATCATGACTAGGCACATATCCCCTCTGTTTTAAAAAGTACTTTTTAAGTACTGTTTATCTGTTATAAAGTCTCAATAATTATCTGTATTCTCTTTCTACCATGATTCCATGGGAATGAATTTTAACATTCAAAAATAGGTTTTTCTGGTTTCCCTTTTGTATAGTTTACTTATAAAAATAATTATTACATCCATATAAACACTTGAACTTAAGCAGTTTTTCACTATGGTAAACATTTGTTAAAGTTTCTGAATTTTTCAACATCGTTCCCTCTAGGCTTATAAAACCTTTTCACCTGTAAATGGGAAATTTTTTGCCTTGTTTTTACCTCTCACTTTTTTTCCACTAGCCCATCATCTGAAAACTTATTATGCTAATACTGCTCTTGATACCTACAATTTCCTTTTCATATTAATGGATTTTCATTAAGTGACGGGTTGTATTATCCCCGATTGTGTAAAGCAGTATTTTCTTGTCAAATTTTAGCTTTAGACTGAGAGGGTGGGAAGCTGAGAGGGTTTTGGCACAGCTTATACCTTATATTAATAATATAATTTCAAAATTAAAATACAAGTGGCAATGGTTAGAAATCTAAGAGACAAGATGATGAGTCAGGCTGGTGTTATAAAGTGGGCTTCCACACAGGGGTGAGAGCAATTACAGTGTCTGGACAGTTAAACATCAAGACACTCTTAGCTGGATGACAGAACAAAGTTGTGGTTGGGGCTCTTGGTTTTAGTCTGATTCCATCTGTACTAGATCAAGTAGGACTCAGATATTTGTAAATGTGGATCATACCTTCTGTTGTTCACACTTCTGATGTTCTGGGCCCTCCTTTTCGCATCTCTTTTGTTATTCAGCTGAGATATGACATGAAAGGGAAAGGGATGGGATGTGTCTTCCCATCAGGAAGAAAATAGAATCAGCTATTCTGAGCATTTTAAACCTTTTGGGGTTACACGAGTCATCTCAGTTGCTACATCAACTGAACACTTCATTCAGTCAATGTTTACCAAGTATATCGACCCTCCATATCCACGAGTTTTGCATCTGAGGATTCAAACAACTGAGGATCAAAAATAAAAAAAAAGTAAATAAATACATATACAATGATAAAAATAATATAATTAAAAACAATAAAGCATAACAATGATTTGCATAACATTTACATTGTTTTAAGTATTATAGGTAGCCTATTGATGATTTAAAGTATAGAGGAGGATGTTTGTAGGTTATATGTTTGTAGGTTTATGGAAGATGCTTGATCATCCACAGATTTTTCTCTCTGCGGGAGTCCTGAATGCAATCCTCCATGGATACAAAGGGACACTTGTACCTGTTATTTGCTAAATACTGAGACTATAATTGTTATTACACGTCTTCTAACTTTATAAATGTTAGCTCCTGGTTGGGAAGATTGATGTATAAGTAGGTAACTTTACTTATTATCTCTAGTATTAGGGGTACATGTGAGATGCTCAGGAGCCCCCTTGAACAATTAGCAAGCCTTGTCGTGACTTTAGTAAATGCATTATCTTTGATGCTGAGAATCTTTATCACACATTGTGTCAATATACTCCTATCTCTACTGATTACTCATTATCTGTAATTTACTCATAGACAAGGACATGATGCTATTTTGTTCTTAAGTAACCAATTTTCTTCTTATTTTTGACATTCTAGATTAAATCACTATATTACTTTTCCTTGACTCTAAATATATTTTGGAAGTAGCACCATTTAAATATAATTTTGATATTCTACTTTTTGAGTCGCTGAGAAAAAATATTTCCAATTATGCTTAGCCCTGGAGAACTGATTGTCATTATTAGCAATCTTGCAGCATGAGAGAGATTTTTTTCTTATTTAATTCCTAGTCATCTAAAGGAGACAGATGTTGATTTAGCAGGCAAATAACACCAAATAATTTCAGGCCTGGCGTCAGGCAGTTTTTTCTGTTGTCAGCTTATGAACTGGTGTGATCCTTCCTCCACTCCCAACTTCTTTTTCTCTTTTTGGGCACATTAGATTAAGCTAATCTGCCTCCTTCTGAGGCACAGAAAGGAAAAAGCCAACTGTATCCAGTTGACAGAATTCATATGAAGGCATTAGGATACTTGAGCAGAGTTTCTAACAGGGAAAAATCTCAAGATGTTTATGTTTGCAAGTATCTTTGGAAGCGTGGTACCACAGAAATTTGAGGGTAAAAGGATATGTCCAGGTTTCTTCCAGACTGGTAGTTTTAGAGTACCTATCTGAATTTAAAAATCTGAATTAATAATTACTTCGAGGGAATGAATATGTGCTACAAAAAGAACACTTGGATTGCTGTGGGGAATCAGATTATTATTCATCCTAGTATTTGTTTTTTAATAACCTTCCTAAAACATATCTGTTGGGTGTCACTCCTCACACCAGGCTTAGCTGGGATGCATACTGGGCAGGGTACAATCAGACAAATGAGAGAAGAAATGGACTCAGCTGTGCTGCTGGCACCACATGGGCAACCAGAATCAGGCATGCTCTGTGTAGTGTCAGCTGGCATCCATATTTGAGAAGGCTTACTCCAGCAGGTTGAATTAGCATTGAGATACAGGGAACAGGGGCATCTGAAGTCCAATGGCCAGCAACTGAAGGTATTTGGGAGCAAGACCAGCTCTTCAGGAGGATTTCAAGAATGTAGGACTAGATAAGCTGGAGTCAGGGAATGAAAAGCACAGTATCCAAGGTGGGATCAGTGGACTGGGAACTTGGGCTAGGGGAAGGTTATTTGTGTATAATAGGGAGGTTGGGGGAGGGAAGAATGCACAAATAGGAACAGAGCTCGCTTAGACATACTAGATACCATTTGATGAGCATGAGGCTACTTTCAATTGCTGCTGCTGATGTACTATCCTTATAGTTTAATTTGGGCTTAGAGACTAACGAGGGGTAGGCCTGCAAAGGTGAAGGTAAGGCAGCCCAAAGTTGACTTTAGGTCTTATTCTAGCATCGAATTTCCCTCATATTCATTATCCTCACTCCTTTTACATTTTCTATTTCTTGCTTGGATTACATTTTGCTGGTAACAGTTGGCCGTGAAAAGTATAATTTAAACTCTTCCCATTTGGAGTGTTTCTCCACACATCTCTTTTCAAGACCTGCCGAGGGCTAATTTTCCAATCTTGTTTCTTCTAAGTTCCTAAAGTCCAGCTAAACCATTGGTCACTGTGCTTGAGTCACATACTTCTGTCCATCTCTGCGACTTCAAGATGTGCTTAAATTTTTTCTTTTATACCACTTTATTTGCTGACAGAATGCTAACTTTTTGGCTTTGTAGGTCAAACAACCCCAGGATATGATGGGCAGCTCAAGTCGCATGGTGATTTAAAAGCCCACGGCTAAGCATTCCTTCTCTACCACGGCCCAGTAGTAAGCCAGAAGCTGTTTCTCCAAAAAAAAAAAAAAAAAAAAAAAAAAAAAAAAAAAAAAAAGATAGCTGTAAAGGATGGTATAGTTTTGCTTCAAAATTCTAAAAATCTGCAGTGTGATTCACCTAGAGATTCTTGCCAAATGCCTATCTGCCCCAGACATTTCAAGCACCATCAGATCTGCTGGGTCATACAGCCTGACTGACAGAACAGCTTGCTTGACAGCTGGACAGGTGCAGAGCCTTTTCTTATTCTGCTCCCCACTCAGTATGCTGACAACAACAAAAAAATCTGGGGTTGGGCTTGTGGCCAAAACTGATCTTTTAAAATTCAGTAGGCTATGAAATACCTCATGAAGCCTTTAGAAAAATAGCTAATAGTTTTTCCTTGCCAATGAAATAAATTGTTTTTTTTCCCCTGAGAACTTGGAGAGTTATGTTTTTATTATTTTCTATGTTTTTTTTGAGTTTGCTACCAACTGAAACCCTTGGAGCATTTTTTTAAGATGTCATTAGGCCTGTATAGTAATACTAACCAAGGGCAAGTGTTTAATCCTTTAAATTTGTTGAATTATTGCATAAGCAAAGAATCAGCCAATAAATACTTATGAGACAAATGTTCATATTGCACAAATAGGTAGGAGATATGGATTCAATATATATAGAATGGTTTATATAAATACTGATACCCTTAGATACCTAAAGAAATAATTCAGTTTTTGAAAATTTAAATTTGTGTTCTGTTATACAGAATGGATGTGAAAGATTGTTTATATATTTTAAATTTTGTTTTTGGTTTTAGATTTACAAAAAAATGTGCCAAGATAGTGCAAAGAGTTTCCATACCCCACATACTGTTTCTTCTCTTATTAGTACCTGTCAGTACTATAGTACATTTGTTACAGCTAGTGAACAGATATGGATACATTATTCCTAACTAATGTTCAGATTTTTAAAGATTTATTTAGGTTTTTTTTTTTAAACCCAATGTTGCTTTTTTGTTACAAAATCCCATCCGGAATACCACATTACATTTAGTCATCTTGTCTCCTTTGTCTGTCTTGGGTGTGACAGTTTCTTTGTTTCTGATAACCTTGAAACTTTTGAGACATCCTGCTCATGAATTTGGTAAAATGTCTATCAATTGGAATATGTCTGATATCTTTCTCATAATTAGATTGGGATTCTGTGTTCTTGGGAGGAATACCAGAGAGGTAAAGTGCCATTTTTGTCATATCAAGTTCAAGGATATATACCATCAACAAGACTTATCTCTATCATATTAACCTTGATTATTGGGCTGAGACAGTGATTGTCAGA